ACTCTCTAGCTCCACCCATGTTGTTGCAAGGGGCAAGATTTCATTATTTGTTATGGCTGAGTAATATTCCATTGTGTAGATATGCCACCCCTTCTTTATCCATTCATCCACCAATGGACACTTGGGCTGTTTACATAATTTGGCTATTATAGATAATGCTCCAATAAACATAGGGATACATATATCCTTTTGAATTAGTGCTTTGGTATTCTTTGTGTAAATACCCAGTAGTGAAGATTACTGTATTGTAGGGTAGTTCTATTTTTAATTTTTAAGGAACCTTCATACTGTTTTCCACAGTGGCTGAACCAGTTTGCATTCCTTCCAAGAGTGCATGAGGGTTCCTTTTCTCCACATCTTTGCTAATATTTGTTGTTTCTTGTATTTTTTTTTAAATTTTAGCCATTCTAACAGTTGTGAATGAGTAAGTTTCACTTTTAAGAAAATCTCTAGAAAGAGAATGGCCTTCAACATTGGGACCATGAGCTTGAAAATATTGTCATCTAGAGCTTAACAGTAGAGATGCTTTCTTCTAAAAGGAAGTACTTGAATGTGGTTAGACAAGTGTTCAATAATTGAGGTAAATATATTTTAAGAGGGAATAACAAACTACATATCTCACTGTAGAAATGTATTTACAACATATTTTTCCTGAGTATGAAATTAAGTATATCATGAAAAAAAAAAGTTTTTGTTTTGATTCTTATGCAATGTTAAATAAAACTGATATAAATTTGAGGCCACACCATTATATGGTTCTTTACATCTAGATTTTTAATTTCATTGTAAGGTGTTTACACTTTACTCTTCAGTGGCTGGAAGTACCTACAGTGTTTGAGGACTAAGGTGCTTGTTTCATGAAAATTGCGCTGAAATTATTGCAAAATATGAATGTGAAGATGCATGCCAAGACAGTCCTTGATAATGGTACATATTTTTTGGCTGACTCAATTGTTTTCTAGCATTACCTGATTTACCAGAGTGCCTAGGTTTCACTGACTTTAGTTAGCTACCTCAGGGTGACAGCTTATGGTGTTACTGATTCGCTCTATGATGAAAACGTCGACATTTTGATTGTGTTATACTATTGTCTCTCTTTAAACATTCTCATGAGAAAAAGTGGAATTTTGTCTCTAATTTGTAGAATATTCTGCATCGTTGGTATTTCTTCCATGGGGTTTTAGAAATAAGTTCGCAATGTGAGTCCTGAAATACAACCACTGGCTCCTCTTATTGGCCTCTCTTGCATCCCTATGGAGTTAGTCAGAAACATGCACATGCAGCCTTCAGTGTTCTATCAAGTTTAGGGGGTATTAGTTGCTGATTTAAGGCAAATTTCAGACTGAATAGGAAACTTGCCTCTAGACTGCCTAGGGATTCACAGAAACGTCAATTCTGTTTGACAAATAGCTACTCTGATCTCCTAAGTTGTGCAAAGAATGACCATAATATTCTAAAAATTTGTCCTTAGAAGAATCTATTTCAGTGAAAGTGCCATTCTGAAAAATGGCTGCCAATAATGCTAGAGAAACTCCACCCTTGTGTGGAATGTGCGCATTACTTCTTTTAGAAAGAAATGAAGTGGGGTGGGTGTTGAATGTGTAATATGAGGTTTCCAGGAAATGGAAATTCAACATGAACTTTGTCTGCAGGCTGCATAGGAATATCTCCCTGGAATGTATATTACAGGCTTCACAATTCTCAGAAGCTCATGGAAGAAGAGTGAGTGTAGTTACTAGTGGGGGGAAACCTGTTAAATTTTTATTCTAAGAAATCTAGTAATTGATAATATGTTTAAATGCCAGTGAAAGTTTAAACACATGAAGTTTATGTATTTACCAAATAAGTAAACTGTTTTTGTTGTCTGACCATGATAATTAAAAAGCCTATTGGGGCACCTGGGTGGCTCATTTGGTTAAGGATCTGCCTTTGGCTTAGGTCATGATCTCTTGGGGTCTTGGGATCAAGTCCCTTGCTGGCTCCCTGCTCAGTGGGGAGTCTGCTTCTCTCTCTTCCTCTCCCTCCACGCCTCCCCGCCGCTCGTGCACACTCTATCAAATAAATACATAAATAAAATTATTTTTAAAAGCCTATTAGTTAAAGAAATATAATTTATATGTGTGGCCTTTCTCTCTCTCTCTCTGTTTTGTCTCTCTGTCACCGTTTCTATGTCTCTCTCTCTATATGTGTGTGCTTTTTCTCTAATTTCTTTCTTTTTTGGTGGGAGGCAGAAAACAAAAAGATTTAAAGACTATCAACTCAGAAATTGTCACTAGTTTAAATATTTCCTTTCCTTTATATCGTTTTCTCTTTGTTTCTGCATAATTATACATACATGGAGAGAATTCTATAGTACAGTGTATCTTTATCACTTCACCTATCATCAACATTTAAGGTTATGCTATCTGTCCAGCACTATTCTAAACATTTTGCATGTACTAACTCATAATCAAAATAATCATTGACAGTAGGGCTATTATTATCTTGTTCCAACAATGAAGAAACTAAATGTACAGATGCTTAAATAACAAAGATAGAAGTGATAAATTGTAATTCAAACCAGGGAGTCTGATTCTAGAACATAAACTCTTGACTGATATATTTTGCTTTTCAATTCTGTGCTCTGTATTTTTCTGCATAATAAAATATACTTTGCTATTAGCTACTGGTAATGGTTGCCTAATATTTTATGACGTGATATTATTTCTACATGTGAGTGGAGGTAAATTTAGCATTACTTCCTATTAATTTGCATAAGGCTTTTGACTTTCTCTTTTTTAATAGGAAAAAACGGTGGAATTAAATTTTTTTTTTCTTTCACAATGAATTTGCATTTTTAGAAATGGTCACTAAGAGTGTTTTTTTTTTTTTCATTATTAAGTTCACCTTACAAATTAAGAAAAAAAAATTCTACTGTAAATATTCCTTGATGAACTAAGGACATATTGCCTTCAAGTTTTTGTTGCCTTTTCATTATAGAAGGCAGCTATCAACTTGGAATGGCCTTATCTGTGAGGAGAAGTGCAGATTCCAAAACTGCAGTTGCTTTAATGGCACATCTCAAGTGAATCTGCTATTGAAGTCACTGTCTTTGCACATAAAGAATACAAGATATTTCTGAGATGAGAAAATTCTGTTTTCTTACCTTGAGAAAATTCTCTTTGTTGTTTTCATATTCAATACTCATAAGTTGTGCTTAGCAAAAAATAAAAAATAAATAATTTTAAAAAAAATCACACTCATATATCACAAGCTTAAAATGTTTACTTCAATTATTTCATCAACTATAAGATCTTACATTCATACTAACAATTTCCATTTTTGATCACAATTCTTATTTAGATGATCTCAGTTTTCTTGAATAGACACTTTGAAACTTTCATTTCACAAACTGTTTTTTTTTTTCCTTTGCTATGGCAAAAATCCATCAGGTGTTTCCGTAAGAAAGAAATATACATGCCTAAATATGATATGTATACTTATTCGTCTGCTTGTGTCTTTATATATACAGGCTGCATGTTTGTGTCTTCCCCAAAATTTATGTTGAAAACTAACCCTCAATGTGATTGTTTTAGAAAGTGAGGCATTTGGGAGGCGATTAGGTCATGAGGGTGGAGCACTCATGAATGAGATGAATACATTTATAAAAGAGTCTACAGAGTTCCCTTGCCCCTTACACCTTGTGAAGTTGTAGTGAGAAGACATTGTCTATGAATCAGGAAGCAGGCCCTCACCAGATACCAAATCTTGGATTTTCCAGGCTTCAGAACTGTGAGAAATAAATGTTTGTTGTTTGAACCACCCAGTCTATTGCATTTTGTTAAAGTAAGCTCAGACAGACTAAGAAAATATCAATATCCACTTATACCCATATCCATAACTATATCTGTAATTCTGTATTCTATCTATATTTGTACAGATAGGTAGATAGATCGATTGATCGACGGATAGATAGCTGGTAATTGAATAAATCAGAAATCACCAGGATTTTTTATCATAATACAGTTAGACCAAAGAACAAATTTATAGCACTGTAATGACATTTTCTACAGCATAGATCATTTGATATATATATTTTTTGCCTTTTTAAAACAGAGACTATTGTATTGGAAAAGGAAAGTGATTTAGACAACTAGACTTAATCATCAGAATCCATTCCACTGCCACATAAGAGAAATTCAACTCAAATTGATTTACATAAATAATGGAATATATTGGCTATATATTAAAGACTTATTTATTTATTTTAGAGAAAGAGAGAGAGAATGTGCGAGTGAAAGTGGGGGGAGGGACAGACGGAGAGAGAGAGGAAGGGAGAGAATCTCCAAGAGATTCCATGCTAAGCAGGGAGCTGGATGCAGGCCCCAATCCCACCACTATGAGATCATAACCTTAGTTAAAATCTAGAGTTGGTCGCTTAACTGACAACCACCCAGGCACCCCTTGGCTTATATAAATGAAAAATCCAAGGGTAGGTTTGATTCCAGGAGTGGCCAGATTATCATTATAACCTTATGTTGTAAGGATTTAGCCCATTCCCATCTCCCCACCTGCATCTCTTGTCTATGCCTTCATTTAGGTTAGCTTCACTGTCAAACAGCAATTCTCCAAACTTAGTGGCCCCTGACAGGTCCTTACAGGCTTTATAGCTAGTGATTATACTAAAAAAAGAGATTTCCCGTCCAAGAACTTCCAATAAATACTGGGATTGAGTCTCATTCATTCTCTGGAGTCATTTTCAAATCCCTGAAACAGATAAATGGAATTCACTCATTGGCTAGGCCCAAGTTACTAAAGCTGACATGGGGTTGCCCCCATGGATGGAGATGAGGAAAGAGTATTTTCAAAGAAAAACTGATTTGAAGAAAGTAGAACAAAAGCCTTGCAAGCAAAATTAGGTACACTTGGCATAACATATAAAAAGGATAAATAGCTTTTTGGTAGAAGAAGAATATCTTTTTTTTTTTTTTGGTTTTCAATTCCATTTATTATTTGTCAAGTTTCCCCCAGTTATTAAAGCATCATTAAAGCACTGAAGTTTCACAAAGGAAAATGATGAAGAGAGAACAAACATGACAGAATGGAAAGACCTTGGACAAGGTCACAGAATTGCCAATTCCTCAAGGTTTCTCTCTTATCAATGTGGATGGCATCTAGGAGTTGTGACGTGCACAGTTCTGATTCAGTTTAATTCTCAGCTTAATTCAGTTTAATTCTCAGTTCTGATACTTGTGGACAAAGGTAACTGTAAGCTCTTCGAGACTCAGTCTCCCCATCTCCAAAAGGGATATAATTAATGTATTTCCTAGGGTTCCTATGAAGATGAAATGGAATAACATGTACATGTACATAATTAATAAATACGAGTTCCCTTCTCCTCTCCCTCCCACCCATCAAACTATACCCTTCCAGTATTTCGGCTTGGTCTCTGTTCCATGTTGTTTGAGAGTCTTTCTTCTATATCCATATTGCTGTTATTGTCTTTGTCAGATAAGAAATCATTATGTTGAGATAAAGAATCACTTTCTGAATGATTGGCTGATGGTGTCTCTGATCTCTGATTGGCAGGAGAGGATGACCTAGATGGTGACTCCAAAAATTTCTTGATAGCAGGATGATTAAAAACCATTGTATCACATGTCTTTGATCCCT